AACAACAAAAAGCTAACTCCAAAACCATCCAAACCAATGGTTTAATTAAAAGTTACAGAAATTAAGGAAAAAAAACCAAACTGAAAACTTTTCTTTATGTTCCTACATATACATTAAATAAATCAAAATTTCTGACTTTCCTTACTGGTGTGTATCACAAGATATCTGAGGCACACAAGACCTGTTAATTCCCCCATATCTGGTTGTGCATTGCCTTTTGTTGTGCTGTTTATCCCTGTCACTACCATGCCTACACCATGCACACAGCCCTTTGCTTTTCAGTCTTCACCTAAACACCTAAAATGTTGCACTTCAATACAAGAAGAAATGTAAGCATGACTGTAACACTAAAAGGCATCTCAGCAGTGCTGAGTGCCTGTGCCCAAAACCTCCCTCCTACATCTCTTCATATTTTCAGTATGACCATTACAAGCACCTGATGCCAAAATTTGTTTGGAAACTTCAGAAGTTTCCACTTTTCTATCACTGTCCTTGCCTAAAAGGATTCTGGACTACATATAAAGCAATTTCTTTCCTCATTTCTATACCAAATATATTAAAATTTTATATAGAGTTATCTTACTGATAATTGCTCTCTGCTAGGTTTCTCTTGATTTTTAACTGAAGAAAAAAGAAATACACATTTGTTTGTCTAAATGATGTTGTGCCAACTGTAATTACTCCTAGAGCAGGTCACCTACGTCTTGAGAAAGTTTATTTCTTCAAAACATTGAGATGAAATTACACTGCACCACTGAACCTGACTTATTAAGCAGAAATAAGCCAGAGGACAGCTACTTGAGGAAAGACGTAATCTATCATTTGAATGTCAAAGTGTGTGAAGCTGACAAAATCTTGGGTGTCCAGCTCTAGAACAAATAAAGGTATTGTTAATGTGAGAAAGCAAGCTATTCACAATTTTAAATTACTCTGTTGTCAGCTTCCCCATATAATTATGTAGCCTTAGAAACTGAAAAAAAAACCCAACCAAAAGTAATCAAAACATTTACTCAGAATTGGAACTGCAAATTGCTGGAGAAAAACAGTTTCATCAGCAAGAATGTCTCTAAAGGATTTTAGAGAGCTTTTTTTGCTTCAAAATATTTTGCTTCAGGTCATGTGTGCACCAAGAAGAATGAACCTCAAACTCCAAGACAACAGAGGAAACCGTTTTTATTATCATACTTCTTTATCTCTGGTTTTTACTGGATATTTTAAGTCATTCACCTCCTTGAATAGTTGTTAAATGGTCCCATGCCTTCTCTAACCTGAACATTTTTCAAACTCCACAGAGGAGGATGGAAAACTTTATATATAGTTCCCTATATTTAAACCTTAAATAGTGCAAGAAAATTATGAAGTGTATCCATTTTGGTTATAAAAATATATGCTACATGAATAATAAGACTGAACTGCTTCACAGAAACTGTTCCTGTGGCTATCAGTGAGACTTGCACATACATAACACCTGCACAAATAGATTCCTTTTTGCAAATCTGAATCATTTGCATTCCTATAGTTATTATGGCATCTGATTAGCTCAATTTCCAAATGCTTTTCATTTCTAAGGATGTGACAGATTGTGAAATTCTTCTGTCCATTTGGTCTATCCATTTTCTGTAAACAAGGTCTGCTTTCTCAGCTCCTGGAGGAATGTCAAGTTACTTAATAGCAGTACAGCATGGAATTATGCATTTACCTGTGCCTACCTTGGAAGTATGCACTGATTTATTCTCCTTTGGCTTCCCTTGGTTAATTAAATACTTGGAATACTTTTCTTCAAGACACGGTTGACTTAAAAAATTTATAATTACAACTAGAGCCTGAAAAAACTTCTTATGTAAGTATACATTGCTGTTGATTTTTTAAGAGAATTTATTTTTGGCTTAGAGATCTGGATGTAAGAAGTTTGCTTAAAATAAATGAACTGATTAGTAAGTACATGGACAAGCACTGAAACTTCATGAGTTAGAAAGGAAAAATAAGATACTTTTAAAATTTAAAATATTTAATGGATGGATAGAATTGTGAGCTCTTTTTCTTTCTTTCTTCTTCTTTTTTTTTTTTTTTTTTAAGGACAAACACAAGGTTATTCATGACAATACTATGGCCACACTGAAATACCAAGAGAAGTTTATGTAAAACTCCTATAAACCTCTTTCTGCAGCCATCAAAACCTGAAACTTTTAATTCACTAAGCAAACAATTTAGAAAATGCCTGGGATATTAATGTACTAAAGAGCAGATAAAATTACTGTATAAAATATGAATTTAGATTGGTGAATCTGCAGAAATTCATAGAATCATGGAACATTATGGTTGGAAAAGACCTCCAAGACCATGAAGTCCAACCTTAACCAAATACCACCATGCCCACTGAACTATATCCCAAAGTGCCATGTCTGTTTGGTTTTGAATACTTCCAGGGATGGTGACTCCAATACTTCCCTGGACACTCTGCTCCAGGGCTTAACCACCCCTTTTTACCACATTTTTCCTAATATCAAACCCAAACCTCCTCTGGCACAGCTTGAGGCTATTTTCCCTTTTTCTGTCATTTGTCTTAGAGAAGAGACTGACCTTCACCTTACTGCACCCTCCTTTCAGGTCATTGCAGGGAGTGATAAAACCTCCCCTAAGCCTCCTTTTTTTCCAGGGGTAACACCTCCAGCTCTCCTAGCCGCTCCTCACAGGGTTTATGTTCCAGATCCTTCTCCACTTGGTTGCCCTTTCTCTGGGGCAGCATTATTTTGTCCCCAGAACCTCTCTATTTTGTCAGCAGCATTCAAGTTAAAGTTGAAAACAACTACTTTGATTCCAGCAGTAAAAAAAACCAAAAAACCAGAATGTTATATCTTGAGTTTTGCTGAAATAAACAAGCATTTTTACTTTTCAGAGTAGCTTGTTAGGAACAGGCCAAGACACATCAGGAATTTCCTGGACTTGACAATGTTTCCACAGTCTTGCTAAATTTCAGTGGATGCCAATTCCATTAATTTCCTTACATGTAAATTTTTGAACACATGTAAGCCTCATTATGCACAACTGTAAAAAATATAAACTGCATTCAGATTTTTTTAAACCTTCCTTTTGTCAGTTTCATCTCCTCTTGCACTGCAAAACTAATTATACAGTCCTGTCCACATTCACTGTGCAACTCTAGACCTGACAGACATTTCTTATAACATACATTTTTATCTTTTTTTTCCAAAATAAAGTTTCCTTTCTTACTGCACCACTTGTTATATGCAAGATGTTCCATACTTACAGTAATGCCTTCTGCCTTTCCCTGAATCTTTCCATTTCAGCCAGAATTTCAGATCTCTGAGATATGAAAAGCAGTACTATATGTGGTATTTAAATACAGACAAAGGACATATTTATGAAAGAACAAATGATATTATTCTATTTTCTATTCCTTTCCAAATAATTCATAAAACCACTTTCCTCGTTCAACAGGTAATGGAGACAGAACTGTCATTTTCATCAAATTACTTATTACTACACTAACTACATTACTACGTAGACCTTGTATTCAAAGCTATTTTTTCTCCATATGAAATTTTTTACAGTAATTTACAGTGAAATTCATCTGCCATTTTGAGTCAATTCACTGAGCTTTATACATTTCTAAGATCAACTTTCACCTTCAATACTGTGAATAATTCAGTATTAGCAGGATTTCTTACCTTCCTGCTCACTCTTTTCTAATTCACTTATAGCTATGTTGAATATTACAGTCCCAGCAGAGATCCTTCCACCTTTTATTTTCACTATCTTAGCCTTTTAGAAAACTAATACTTTATTCCTAATCTCTGTTTCTTGCCTCCTAACCAATTATCTATTCACCATTTTTCTGCTCCATATTCCACATTCTGAGAAACTATTTGTTTCCTTCAAAATTTCTGGGAAGACCTTGTCAAAAGCCTCTGGCAATTCAGGCAGGCTCTACCAACATCATCATATTTGTTGATCCTTTCAGAGAGATTCAACATGTTTCCAAGACAGGGGAAGTCACTGTTATAAAAGCCATATTAATTTTTCCCAGGAAAAGAATCATACCCATTCATGAGTCACAAAATTCAGTATTTATCGTAATTTTTGAGTTCTGACAGTACACATCTAGGGCTTTTTGACATGATAAACCCTTGCTACTCTTTAATCACCAGTTAACAAGACCCTTCTCCAATGCAAAGGGTTCTGCAAAGGAAAGTTCTGGCATAGGAGCCACCCCAGTTCTTTCTGTCACTAAATTCATCCATGGTGAAAGCAAAAGGAGAATTTAATGAACACTGGGGACCCCAATCCTTATTTACATGAACTTTTCTTGTTTCTGTTTTCAAGTAATATTGCAACATGTTCATTTCTGATTTTTAAAGCCTATCAAATTGAATTTGGAGGCAAATCAGTTATCAATTCAGATACCTTGCAGAAATTATTTCTTGCAGTCAACTCCATAACATAGGTAATAGCCAAGCTAAAAAGGAGTCATTAGAACAGTGGTACTTATTCAAAAGCAGCTTAATTCTAGAAATACAATCTTTACTTCCAAGATCAACTTGTCATTGAAACTGTTTAAATAGCACACCGACAAAGGCATATTTCTACTATTTTTTTGCTCCAGAAATTAAGGCTAAGGTGTAATAACATTTTTGTTCCCTGAAAAAAACTATCAGAAAAGTGAAAGTATTACATCCTCTTTTACAAATGACTAATGTGGTTTTTTGAGTTTTTGACAACACTTAAGAGTTTTTCACCATGCTGGAATTTGACTATAAGCCTCTATTTAATTTTCTTGACAAACAAGGAAATCTCAAACAGTTTTAATGGACTCAAAGATGTTAAACTTCAGTTTACCATGTGCCACTCACCTCTCAACTGTCTCTCCCTTTAAATGTCTTCCTCTGGGGAAACAGGATGTGTCTGTGCTGTCTACAGTGGTACTGACTGCTAAACGAACATGGGTGGTCACAGTTTGGGAAAGGAGGACAGGGACTTACCTGCTTCTTTGGCAACATCTGCAGTTGAAATATTTTGGAGGTTTGAGTGCACTCGGAAGGTCACAGCTGGTCCCAGCACGCTGAAAGAGATTATTAAAAAAATGTAAGATTCATAATCAAGAGACATGGCATAATATTCCTTATCAAAATAGGCTTTTAAAGAGAACCTATTAAGACACCATTTAGCCCTCTTCCTTTTGCTTCATTAGCTACATTTGCATACATTTTTATACCTCTTGTGGTTTCCTGTGTGTATTTTGTGCCCGTCTGAAAGAATTTGAATGACATTAACTAAACTTCAGAACGCTCCTGTAAATAATATTCTTGTTATGAAGATGGCAAAATGGAGACACTGAAATTGCTATTCACTCAAGTACAGCATAGATCATCACTGGAATTCAGCATCCAAAGATTACCTGTATTTTCACATTTTATATTCCTAATATCAACACAACTTCAGTTCCTCTTGTCACAACTGCAAATCAGAGGGACAATAGAGAAACTCAAAATATTTATCTTAATCATATTCTGCAAGAATATGTGTGGAGAAGAGATCCTGGACATATCTGATCCAATAGGTGGTTTTGAGCAGAAAAATACCACAAAGTATTTATAATTTAACAACAGAGGTGATCACCTCTTGGAACAATTTCTGAGGGGAAATTATTTGACTCCGTGGAGACCTTTCTGCATGTAGCCTGATGGTCCTTTATGGAACTAAAATCTATAAGACATTTACAGAGGAAAGTACTGATTAGCCAGATGTAGAGTGGCATTGTACTCAGAGTGTCACCAAAAAATATCATTGGACAATTTTAAGGAAAAATAAATCTGTATTAGTAATGTTGCATTAATTGTCATCCATCCCAATAAACACCTTACATGTATATCTGATGAAAGAAAAGAAGAAATTTCAGGTGTGATGTCCTTCAAACTATGCTTAAATACTTATTTAAAATCATGTAAGAAAAATACACATAAAAATAGTGAATGTATTTTTGAAGAAAAATTTCTGGGGAACAGGAGACTATATAAATTATAATGCAAGAATTTACAGAAAATAAGAGTGAAGAGTCTCAAGAAAAACAAAAATTGGCACTATTTTATAGAAGTTTACTTACATAATATGTATTATGCAAGTTCCTAGGGTTGTTTTAACTCATAATATCAGTGAAAAGAATTACATTTATACTATGATGAGCAACCCTGCTCAAAAGGTGAAGTGCATGGGCTGGAACTGTACATGTAACAGCTTTTGACATCCTATTGCTGTGGCTTAGGAGAGAATAAAATCAGAAGAACTGTTGGATAAAAGAAATAACTTGAAAAATATTTTCTTGCAGGGCTTGAAACGAAGTATTTAGTTATTCTTTTAGTAAAATGTTCACCTCTTACAATCATAGAATGGAGAGCACTTAATGAAGTGTGCTTAATTGCATCACATATATCCTAGACAGAAATACCTTTAAACTTTTTCCATTTCAGGCAGAAAAAACCTTTTCTTAACTATAAGACTTTGCTTTGAGGTCACAAAGGGAATCAGAGTAAGAATAAGGATAAGGAATATCCTTTCATCTTTTACTAGCAAAGCATGCACTGCACACATTTTATTCTGGAGTTAACAGGGACTGCCATTAATCAATCATTTTTCTCAAAGTACTCTTCGGAGGAGGGGAGAAAAAGAATACAGATTTTACTGTTAAAGGACACTCTAAAAGCCTGGTCACTGATGGTCAAGAAACACTTTAAATAATGCCAGGCAATTATAAAACATTTTTCAATATCATATTAATGTTATAGATTAAAATAATCAATGATTGCAAAGTACTTTTTATTTGAGATAACTGTTTTACAAAAATCCAGACTATTCTGCCACTAACCCTGAGATAATCAACCATAAAATGCACCTGTTTCAGGATACCAAGCACTAACTAATCTTGCACTGTCCTTCTTTCTGTGTTGCAAACATAAGAGAAATGCTGATTCCTCTTCAGCTGCTCAGATATTTACAGTGCCATTAGCAGTCTGCTTTAAATAATAGCACCACCACCCCAGTCCACAGCTCTTGCATGACCAAGATAGCAGGGAAAGAAAAACTAATTTCAGATATTCCCCCCAAATCTTTACGCATAGGCCATTATAGCTGAGAACGTAGAACCAACACAAAATTTCAGCGACAATGTAATTGCACTTCAGCTCTATCCACAAAGACAGAAAGTTCCCTGCCCTCCTTCCCTTATCTGAATATTTTACTTTTATCTCTCAGCTGCTCCCCACTTCCTCCCACTTCTCCTGTCTTGCCCCACTCCCTGCAGCCCTGCACTTCCTGGCATCAGTAAAATCATATAGATTAAAACTGGATCATTTCAGTGACCCAGCCCAGGCAGTGAGAGACAGGGATTTCCAAGGAGTGAAGCCTGTCAGCAACCATCCCACTACTCTCTACTGACTCCACCTGGAGAACCCAGGAACACGAGAAGATCCAACTCATGCCCACATCAGTGTTGCCACAAGTACTGTCATTTCTCCTCACTGCTCAGGGAAAACAAGAACAAAAAACAAGACAAGGAAAAAAATTCCTTGTGCAAGTGGGATGATACTGAGTTAAGACCATCCTCTTGCAGGAACAAATAAATCTCAGAATCATTTAAAACACCCACTCATATGTTGCTCTGTGGGCCATTGTATTCCTCTACTGTAGCAATTGAATTCTTGTATGCAAGAAATCACCTGAGCATCACATCAGCATGGCTTCACTAGGAATACTTGCAAAATACAGAAAATAAAAAGGCTTTTGTCACAACTTTTTGCAAATTGGCATTCTGTTTATTTAAAAGCAAACAAAAGACCTTGAGATTACTTGGTCAAAATTGCATTTCTACTTGATGTTTTGGGAACTGACTGCTTCAGGAGCTCATAAAATGAGATTTTTCTCATGGGGGACTTCTGGCAAAAGCACTCAATAAATAAACATTTCAATAACAAAAGATGCCCTTTAGGGAATTCCTCACTGTTCATTATGTCTTGGATGAGAACATTTAAACAAAACCATTAATTATTTTACTGCAAAATATTTTTAAAAGACTTTTTAACAAGAGGTTGACCAGCCTGAAAAAAGGTTCCAAGATGTATAAAATGCACCCCTGATAGGAACTTTAAGTTGAGTAGATGAGACTTTCCTGTGTCAGACTCTGAAATCTGCATAACACTTACTGCAATGTCTTCAAACTGCTCTAAATACAGAGGCTCACCGAAGTGCACACATTTATTTATAAGCTGCTGAACTGCAAGCAAACCATTCCCACAGATGAGAGAGGTGCTGGAGGAGCAGAGGCAGCACTGCTGCCTGGTACCTTACCCCAGACAGCACTCACCAGCTGGGCAGGAGAAAACAGTCACACAGAAACCACACTGTCCAGGCTGAAACCTCACCCACATCTGACATCTGCTGCAACTGAGGTTAAAAATGTTAGATGGTATTTTTTGTCTATCCCTACCCTGAGCTGCATGCTACTACAGTTACCCCCATGTAAAAATGCAGTAAATTTTTTCTGACACAAATGAACTTACACTCACTTAAGTCAGTGAAGATTGTGAATTTTAGAAGGACTCTGGACTATACAATGTAATTGCACTTACCACTTTTTTCTTATACTTCTTTACAATTTTTTTTGAATAAAGGTAAGCAGTTCTAACTTCAAGGCTAATAAATAGTGACTTACTCCCACACAAAATTGTCTGTTGCAATGACCTGCTAAATTTATTATTCAAACTTTACCAATTAATTTCCCCCCCGTTGGCTGTCACAACTTTTGCCTTTTTATTTTTTTTTTACTTACAACAATGTTGCCTTCAGTCATAATAAGGGGTTATTTTACAAAGACATTCGAAGCATATTGCAAATTGTCACCCTTATGTGCTGTTGTCTTTTATTCTGTTTACTAGAGATGAAATAATTACAGTGTTTATACCAAAATGACTTGAAGGTTGATTGCTGATTTAATAATATCCCCTCCCCTTGGGTTTATATTTCCCATCTGAAGGTGGGAGGGTGCACAATACACACAGAAAAAAAGAATATTCTTTGTGTAAAATACAAGTATTCCCTTTTGTTAATTGTTTTACGACTAAACATTCTTAACAGCATTCTTATATTTTCCCTGTCAACAAATGAATGATCTGGATAAACAGAGCTGGAGCGTGATCAATATGGCAAGGTCCATATCACTTTCAAGCCGTAGGTTATAATTATATTTATGAATGACAGGATTTAAATCTCCATAAATTATGTACCAAGCTTTTCATGCCTGCTCCTCTCCCTCGTGTGCGTGTACTTAAGCATTACAGTATCACACCGCATGTACTCTGAGAGATGCAGTCACAGTCTATCATACCCCCTAGTGGAAAAGGATTTGAGAAGCAAGTGCCAACAACATGGGTCTGTGTGCTCCTGAAGATGAGGCATAGAGCTGATGCCAGATGGAAACGATCTGAGGTGGCATCTCATTTTTAAGATCCAGGCAAAGTGCAATTTCTCAAGACTGGGGGAAGATGAAGAGATTAGAATTGGCTATTTCCAACATGAAACATTCTCTTAATGACCCTATTTTATAAAACAGGGCTTGCCTTAATAAAGCTTAGATTTGAAATTAAAGTCACTACTTGTCTATATGTTCATTTCAAAATCCTTTAATCTCCGGAGGTTAAGAAAAGCAATTAGCAACGCTCCAGAGGACTGTGCAAAGCAAATTTTATAGCAGTGAAGGTAATTGTCTCAGGAAACGTTTGGTGGCCTTGAACTAATGACTTGCAATGTGTACACATTTCTATGCTTTCTGTGTTTAGGAATTTGAAGCTTATGTCCATTGTTTATACTGCACTGAAGCCTCCTTTTCACATTCTCAATTTTGGAAAAAACAAGATGCTCTGCTCTTGCGGTTAAAAACTGTTTTATATATTATATTTAGAGGTATATAAACATACTTATGTCAAATCAAATCAATGGGGAAAAGCACATAATTAGCAGAGGCATTTTTATACTACAGTATGTTTCTACATCATGATTTACAGAGAAAAGCAA